CACCAGGACTAGTCTGATGAAAATGACCCGACAATCAAAGTACTCATCGATGATAAAAGTGCTGCTTTTACTGACAGGCAGAACAACCGTCAGTCTCGGACCAAAGCTGATACCTAACGTAAGAAGAAACGGCAGCCCAGCAGGAACTTCGTAATCTAAAGAACGCCTGGCTTAAAAATAATGGATGTGAAGCACAAAAACTTGCAGATCAGCCTAAGATATGCGATTTTTTTTATTTCCACTAAAACATTTCATGGGCCAGTCACTCGTGGCGCAGCCCCGCTTCGATCATCTGACAGTAACCTCATAATTAAATACGATGAAGGAGGCTTCAGCGCTGGAAAGAGCACTACCATTCATTGCTCAACCGAAACACTGATGTGGATGTCCTGACTACACAACAGGTCCCTCGGCATCCAGAGCTGACCCACCTCAGCTATCCTCCATCCTTGGATGAGGTAGCTACTGCCATCAAACAGATGGATAGTAACAAAGCCTCAGGGCCTGACGAAATCCCAGCGTAGGTGTATAAAGCAGGAGGACCTCTGCTTACCAGCCGTCTCCACTCTCTCCTGGGGAATATAGTGGGAAAAGGAGGAAATCCCCCCAAGCACTTAAAGACGCCACCATTGTCAATATTTATAAGAATAAGGGAGACCAGTGAGACTGTGGCAACTGCCGTGGGATCTCGATGCTGGTAAGACTATATTGCCTGAGTCCTCTCAAACAGACTTCTTTCCGAGGCGGAGGACTTCCTCCCAGAATCTCAACGTGGTTTTAGACCATCACGTGGCACCACTGATGATCTTTGCTGCCCGTCAGATACAGGAAAAACGCTGAGAACAGCGTCTTGACCTGTACTTGGTTTTAATCAACCTAATCAAGACCTTCGACTCGGTCAACAGGGAAGCCCTTTGGTGAACCCTCAGCCGTTTTGGCTGCCCACCTAAATTCATCGCCATTGTGAGGCAACTCCACAATGGCATGAACGACAGTGTCCTGTACAACGGCACCCAGTCAGAGTTCTTCCCCATCCAAACAGGGGTTAATCAAGGGTGTGTACTGTCACCAACTCAATCTTCCATCTTCTTGGCTGCCTTCTTTACTCGTGCCAGTGCCAATATAGCCAGTGGGGTGAACACCGAGTACCGGGTGAAGAAGGGCCTTCTCAACATAGACGACTCCAGGCAAGAACAAAGGCGTCGTCATATTCCATTACTGAACTTCAGTATGCAGACGACCTCACTGCAGACATCGATGAAGAGATTCAACATCGGATCAGATGTGCATCTCAAGCCTTTGGCAGACTCTGATATCGTGTCTTCAGCTGTAGGGGGCTGAAATTATCTACAAAGCTGCATGTATATTGAGCAGTAGTCCATCCCCACCTTGCTATATGGCAGTGAGACATGGGTCACATACAGGAGGCACCTGAAGGCACTTGAAAACTTTCACCAATGCAGTCTACGTTCCAATCTCAGAGTTCGCTGGGAAGACGAGAGAACAAATGCCAGTATTCTTGTTGACACCAACTGTTGGATCATCAAGGCTACCATTATCCATGAACAACTACGTTGAACTGGTCATGTTACCAGCATGGGCGACAGTAGACTGCCAAAGCAGCTACTTTACAGTAAACGAATAGTAAACGTAACACCGGCGGGCAATTGAAAAAGTATAAGGATAGTCTTAAGACAAACCTGAAAAAGTGCCAAATCGACCCCCTCACCTGGGAGTCAATTACTCCACATCGTAATGCTTGGAAGAACACCGCACGAGAAGGTGTCAATGCTTTCGAGTTAGCCCGACTGCAAACAAAGGCAGACAAGCACCAACGCCAGAAAGACGCTGCCACCGCCCCTCCCGCAGTCGATGGAGCCCTCCACATGTGCAACGAATGTGTACGACGCTGCGAGTCCTTTATCGGTCTCTTTAGTCACCTCAGAACTCACCCACCTAGGTGACATCCTTAATAGCTCATATCATTGTATCATAGCTGGATGATCGTCATACTCGATTCCGAGTGAGAGCAAAGAAGTAGTACCCTCACGGCTCAGTACTTGGACCATTATTATTTATTATATTCATAATGACATATATATCGCCGTAGACAGCAACCTATGAAATTTACTGATGATACTACAATTAAGCATGTAATTAAATATGACGAGGACTCCGCAAAACTACAGGAAGATCTAAAAAAAAAAAAATTTGAATTTGACTTGAAAAATGGCAGATAAAATTCAATGTGGACAAACGTAAAGTACTTAGTCTAGGAGATGTAAACATCGAAACCAGATATCAGATGAACAACGATGTTATAGATGAATCCGACTGTGAGAAAGATTTAGGAGTCATGATATTTAGAAATCTTAAACCAATTAATAATGTATATTTGCTCGAAACAAGGCTAATAAAGTACTTTATTTCATACAAAGGAGTGTTAGTTTCAAGACTAGCGAGGTCATCCTAAAACTATATCTTGCGCTTGTGAGACCTCACTTGGATTACGCACTTCAATTCTGGTCACTGTACTACAGAATGGAAGTAGAATCCCTAAAAAGAATTCAGAGGAGAATGACGTGACTAATCCCAAGCATTAAGAACCTTGAGTACATAGACAGGTTAAGACATCTTAAATGGAAGTCAGGGCTAAACAAGGGTGACACTACAAAGGTACTCAAACTATCCAACCAGAAGCGAATTCGTAACATTGGTTTTAAATTGGACCAATTTAGATTTAGAAGCGAAATAAGTAAACATTGGTTTGGAAATAGAGTAGTAGATAAATGGAATAAGTTATCAAACATCATCATTAACTCGAATACGCTGGATAGCTTCAAACATAGGTTGGATGGATATACAGTATGAGAGATAGGGGTTGGGTGTAAATGAGACTGCCCAGTATTAGCCAATAGGCCCGTGCAGTTTCCTCCATTCTTATGTTCTTATGCACAGACTAAGGAGTAATTATTGACAAGGCTAATATATAATGGCATGTACAAATTGGACAATAATGTGATTAACAAGATTTGTAACCAGGTGGAAAGGTTGGGTCACACTACCTAATGACCTAAATATGGTGGACACCTGCTGTCCAAAGGGACTTGATCTCACTCCTTACTGCATATATTAGCCTTGTCAATAATTACACTCTTGGGAGGCTTGCTGCAGACAACACTCTTTCTGCATCCCCCGCACTGCTCAGGGTATCTACTGTTCAGTGGCGGCCCAGACTAGGTGCTCTGTAACGGCTTCATGCAGCGGATTTGGGCCGTGATCCCACTGGTGTTACTTGCACCATTGGCTGTTCCTCCTTTGCTCTTCCTTCTTTTTCGCTCTGGCCTGGGGACCTGCACCCTAGAGGTGTATTCGTTCTTGGGTACCCACTGTAACTCTTCACCTCCCTCCCAGGAGTTTGTGAACACGAAAGGGGGTAGGAGCAGAACCTATCCCTCCGCTGAGCCTTCCTGGGTAATCGTGATCGTGCAGGTTCACCTAGGAAGGGGGTCGCATTCCTGAATCCCCCCCCCTGAATAAGTACACTAGCTCACGTCTATAAGTGAGCATTCATTAACACTAGGGAAGTAGACTCCCCTGACGGGGCTTCCGGGAGAGAGTCGCGGGAACCACTCTACGACACACTCGACCAACAAGTGGCGGTGGGGGGGTATTGTAATTCCCGTGACAGGTTTCTTTCCTGGAATAGGTAGGTTTCCTGCTTCACCCCATGCTAAGGTAGCCTGTCCACCACGTCCTCTCTGAAATGAGGGCACGCCGGGTTCGGATACGGGGCCTAATTCCTAGTTCTTCCAAAGCACGATGCAGATTGATAGTGTTCGTTCTGGTGTATTACTAGTGATCCCAATGAACGAAGTATCGGGAGGTATTTGTTCGCATATCCCTATATTGCTGGAAACAACATCGGGTGCCTACCCTCTACTGATGGGTCCGACTAATGACCCAAATGTACCCAAATGTACCCAAATGTAGCCAGATATAGCCGGAATGAAGTCAAATAATGGTCCTACATGAATAATTCGGACTGCTAATCACTTCTTGACTAGTATTTGGTGTCAGAAAGTCACAAAAAATTGTATAACTTACTTTAATCTGAGTTAATAGATCGCGTGCATGTACCGACGGAGCGAGGAATTACCCAAATGTACCCAAATGTAGTCGCAATGAAGTCAAATAATGGTCCTAGATGAATAAATCGGACTGCCAATCACCTCTCGACTAGTATATGGTGTCACAAAGTCACAAAATATGGTAAACTTAATTTAATCTGAGTTAATAGATTGAGTGCTTGTACCTAACCTAACCTAACCTAAGCTAACCTAACCTCGACTAGTATTTGGTGTCACGAAGTCACAAAAAATTGGTAAACTTAATTTAATCTGAGTTAATAGATCAAGTGCATGTACCTAACCTAACCTAACCTAACCTAACACAACACAACTCAGATTAAATTAAGTTTACCAATTTTTTTTTTACTTTATGACACCAAATAATAATCGAGAAGTGATTCACAGCCCAAATTACGCTTGTACGACCATCATTTGACTTCATTGCGGCTATATTTGGGTACATTTGGGTACATTTGGGTAATTCCTCGCTCCGTCGTTACATGCACGCGTTCTATTAACTCAGATTAAAGTAAGTTTTCCAATTTTTGGTGACTTTCTGACACCAAATACTAGTCGAGAAGTGATTAGCAGTCCGAATTATTCATGTAGGACCATTATTTGACTTCATTCCGGCTATATCTGGCTACATTTGGGTACATTTGGGTACATTTGGGTAATTAGTCGGACCTCTACTTGATGGCTGCCTTATGACGAATAATAATCATCATTATATTTTATGAAAGCTCTTCCAGTACTTTATTACAGATGTCTACGTCGAATGATATTTTTTTTTTTGATAAGTACAATTAAAAGAAGTGGTAATCCGGATAAATCAACTTTCACAACACTGTTATGAACTTTAAACATTATTGGAATGTTGACATCACTGCTCCGACTCGCTGACGACTGCTGAGCCTCATCTTCAATTAATACTCTCTTCTGTTGTAATTTAAGGTATGTTTCTTATCTCCATTCATTCATTCATAGTAATAAATTTTCAACCATCTGAACCACGAAATTAATTAATTTTTTCCGGAATGAGGCAAGCCAAGTGAGCTCACTCTATCTTGAGCGAAGCAAAGAAAGTATCACAGGGACGGGCCCAGTGATATAGTTTAGTATAAACTTTAATTTTTATTTTCAACAAGATAGAAGCTATGGTTTACGATCTACAATGTCTGTGTGTGTCAGGCAGCAGTATGCCAACATAAGTAAGCAGAAGATTTATTTTTCTTTATTCTTTAACTGAAATATTTCCTGTCAATAATTATATAAAGAATAAGTACTGCTTACTATCAATACCAATAATTGGCTCTAAAATTCTGCAATACTAGGCTCCATCACAGTTTTAATAATACACGCAACATCATATACACTGCTCTCTTTTGTTAAACAAAATAAAAAATATTTGCTTTTAAGTTTATCAAACGATATTTTCATTCATCTAAGTATAACTACATTTTTTTTAGCTATATTCTAACCAAAATCAGAAAAGCACACAGCACAGTAGACAGTAAGGGAGTGACAATTAACCAAACTTGTTTGCCACAAAAACAGCACATGGGATGCAGATTTGTCAACTTGACGCAGTTTGGCTTTGTAGAAGTTATTATGTAACCTTAAATGTGTACAATGCAAGGCAGGGGCCCCCACTGCACTGGCATGAGAGAGCAGTTTAACTTTGCCATCTGTATGATGGTATTCAATCAACAACACTTACAGATTTCTATAAAAACATAGGTTAATTAAAAAATTGGTGGATCAGTCATATTTAATATTTTTTTAGGTTAATGTAGTTTATGTTAGGTTAGGTTAGGTTAGGTTAAGTTAGGTTAGGTTAGGTTAGGTTAGGTTAGGTTAAAATTGGGTAAGGTTAAGTTAAAATTGGGTAAGGTTAAGTTAGGTTAAGTTAAAATTTGGCAAGGTTAAGCTAGGTTAAGTTAAAATTAGATTAAGTTGAGTTAAAGTGAGGTTAGGTTAAGTTAAAGTTAGGCTAGGTTAAAGTTAGGTTAGGTAAGGTTGGGTTTTTTTAAGTTAAAGTTAGGTTAGATCCATGATTTGTGCCAGTTATTCACTGGTAATGTAGGGCAATTTTCCAGGGGACAGTTGTCCAATGGGGGCAATTGTCCAGGGAGCATTTCTCGGGGGGAAATTGTCAAGGGGGCAGTTGTCCTATAAACAAATTTTATTACAAAATTTCAATTAAGAAGAAATATATAAAATGATAATGTTATGATTTTACAGCATGCAGACCTACAGACAACACCTTGATGACTTGTAAGAAATAAGGATGTTAAGTCAGCTTGATGATAAGAGGAAGCGAGGATTTCATGTAAGACGAGATCCTTTTCAGCATTATAATGAAGGAGAATTTAATTAGCGCTACAGAGTATCTAAGAACAGCACCATGGAGCTGCTTACAAAAATCAGACATCATCTACTAATGTCACTGAGCCATAGAGGTAGTCAAATATTTATGATTTCAATACAGTATAGTAGTGCTTATCAGATGCTTGAGGAACAGCATGATAAATGTCATGATCATGAAATATGAAGTAGGTTTTTAGTGAGAGGGGGATTAGGTTCAATCTAAAAAACAGTACTGTACTGCATAAATTTTTGCCCTGTGAGTACTAAGTCCTTAAGACATTACGAAGAATAGTATAGTATCTTTTCTTTCTTTCATTCCTTTCAGGCATTCCAATTCCTCCAGTTTTACAGCTACTGGTTGCCATGAGATACAAGGCTACAGGAAATTTTCAAATAACTCTGGGAGACTGTTCAGACATGTCTCAACCAAGTGTTAGCAAATGTGTCCGGAATGTTTCTGCTTCTATTGCCACTCTTGCACCAGGTTATATTAAATTCCCCTTTCCTGACCGAGAGAAGATGATTTCCTGCAGGAATTTGCCTCTATTGCTGGAATGCCAGGTGTGATAGGCTGCATAGATGGGACTCACATTCCAATCAAGAGCCCTTGAAAGTCAAATCCTGAACTCCACAGGAGTTGAAAGAATTTCTTCTCCATTAATGTCATGGGCGTATGTGATGCACACATGAAATTTACAAACCTTGTCGTAAACTGGCCGGGCAGTACTCATGACTCCCGCATATTCACAACGTCAAGACTTTGTGAAAGTCTGCAGGTCGGTGAACATCGAGGCTTTATCCTTGGTGATAGTGGATATGCGTTGCGTCCATACTTACTCACTCCAATCCATAATCAAGCTAATGAAAAGCAGAGGAAATATAACAGATCTCATTTTAAAACAAGAACTACAATTGAAAGGACATTTGGGGTGTGGAAGAGGAGATTTGCTGTACTGCAGCATGTAAGAGCAAAGCTGTCTACTACTAAAAATATTATAATTGCATGTGCAGTTCTCCATATTATGGCTTTGATTTCTGGACTTCCACTGGACATAAAAGACATGCATTTAGAAGACCCTGACGACCCTGAAGAAATGATCAGATATGGAAATTATGAAGGTCAAGCAAGGAGGGAGTATATAGTGGAGCATTTTTTTTTAATTAAAGTACAGTAAGATTTATTCCAGTACTTTGATAATCATTAAGAAGTAATACGGCTTTAGTTAGTTAGGTAACTACTATGTTCCATACATTACTTTAAGTGGTGAACGATTATGTCATTAAGTTTTAATAAAACTTTTACCTTGGTTAATTCCCAGTTAACCAGGTTGGTAACACATATAATATAATTGGGCTTTTGGTTACGAAACCCAATTGAAGTTTCTTGTTTTATTATAAAAGGATTATGTCTATAATTCCTGAGTGTAGATCAACCGTAAGTTCCACTATTTATGAGTGAACGAGAAAGAGGATGGCGTTTATGTAAATATAAACGTGGATCAACGTCCGTTCGATAAAAGTTGGTGTGAGTGACTGATGAGTAGTGACCCATCGAGGGAGAACAGTATGGGTACGTCGTTCCACCTCGAGGGAAGACGGAGCCATCCACTGCGGCTCTCAAATAACGTCTTCCTCTAGTCAAGGATATCAAACTACTGCTTGCTTCAGGTGGCCAGTAGAGCCGGCTACTTATGCCTTTACTCAGCATAGTATGACGCAGCTTCCCGTGGGCCACACCTTATCACGTGCATTGAACATGTCACTTCATAGCCAGTGGAAAGTTACAAGGGGGTGAAATCTGAATACTAATCAGATGTAAGAACCCATTTATATAATACTTCTGTTGATGAGACAGGGCCATTACAAAACAGTGGTTTCTCAGACTGTACTAGTTCTATAATATTTCTGTTTTAATGCGTATTCATCCATTCTTAAATTATGTTGCCTCAAATTGTCTAATTTTTACTTCATTTAGGTTTGTAATAATGGAGCTTAACTCAATATGTAAGGTGTCTTACCTGTGAGGTTTTATGAAGACAACCAAAGGAAAGAAATACAGATTAATTTTTGTCTAGATGTGTAAAACTTAAGAAAATAAACATTATTTTTTCTATACATGACTCTGCATTTCCTGAAATTCACAGCTTATATTATAGATATAAAAAAAAATTCTCGACTGCCATACTTTGGACAATATTTGTAGCTGACATGAAAATCTATTTCTATCTTTGGCACAAAAAAAAAATGGTGCCTTTTTTTTTTCTAAAGCAAATTATATGAATGCATAAAATTTAATAAACAAAAAATCTCCTCTATACAGTACTTTGCACATCATAACCTACAGTATATTATAAATGTACAAAAAACAAAACTTTTTTCTTTGACACAGGAAAGAAATGCATTTTTTGAAAATCACAGCATTTCTGTACACTGTATTATAGATATCCCCCAGAGAAAACTAATAAGCTGCCTTACTTCTGACAGCTTTTGTAACCAAAGAAAATCTTTGTCAAAATAAAGTCATGTAGGTTTATTTCCTTTACATCAAATTATTTGAATATGTAAAAATTATTAAAAATAACTTTTATTCTAGATGCCACTTTCTGAAATATCACAGCAAATAGTAAAATTATAAACATTGCAAATCACTTTGTTTTTACTGAACCATCATTCATAAGTTTTAGGCATGGCATCATATGCAGCTGCTGCTTTCCTTAAAAAACTATCTAACAATTCAAAAGAATTAATAATTTTTTCACGTGTCTCTTCAATCAATGTAATTCCAGTTTCACTGAATTTTTGTTTGAGATTATGTGTTGACATTATTGCCTTCTTCAGTTTGTTCTTCCTCATGCTCACTTTTCATTATGTACAATTTAGATTTATGGAACTCTTCTTGTCTTTTCTCACACATTTCATAGACACTAGTCACCCTCCAGAACCAGATGCCCTACTGTAGACACTGAAAAAAGGTGTTGGTCGGAAGCATGAGCAGGAGGGGGTGAGTCAGGATCACTCGATAGTGAGGCAGGGGCATTGACTAGTGAGGCAGGAGCAATGACTGGTGAGGCAGGAGCAGTGACTGGTGGGGCAGGAGCAATGACTGGTGATGCAAGAACAATGACTGGTGAGGCAGTAACAATGACTGGTGAGGCAGGAGCATTGACTGGTGGGACAGGAACAGAGAGTGAAATTAAAGGTCGAGAAACAGAAGTAGATGAAGCCGCAGTAAATTGTGCAGAAGACACAGTTAATGGCCCTGGGGTTGGAACAGGCATATGCTAAAACAGTACAATGTAATAAGTCAGATAAAATATTTAGCTGTAGGCCACTGCTCCTGTTTGATAATTAGATAGCCAAAGGAGATTGAGCAATGGGAGTTATGAATGCACGCAACTGTATAAATCAATCACTTTTCTGTAATATTCTCACCTATGTGCACATTTGATAAGGTATTATTTGCTTCATCTACTGGTTGAATGCGGAATGTCTCATAAATATCATCAGCCATTGATAACACAGACCTCATCATTGATGCTGCTAAGGCGATTTCTTGTGAAGCTTCTGATAGTTTTTCTGGAGGACCACCACCTGTCTTTTTTAGCTTCTTTCGCTCTTCTATATCTCTATTCTTAGTTCTGAAAGAAACATAAGAAATAAATACTGTATACAGTGCAAACATAAATATTAATATCAACAGCATAGGCTTTTATCATGCTTTCATCCCCAATGTCTATGGGCAAAGTGGATGCAGAACAGATTAATATCATTTACTGTACATATATGCATCACAAAAGAGGGTTTTGTAGGATTTTACAATACAGCATTGTTTAAAGAGCCTGTACAGTACAGTATATAGTTTAAACAAATGTAAATTGACCATTAAAAATTGAGTAAGAAAACGTGGTTATACTTTACGATGCTGATGTGCACTTACATCAGTATATCGAAAACAAATAGAGAAATTTTTTTGAAGTAGGCCTAAAACAGGCTAACACATATCTACACGGCTACAGTCATATCTGCAAGAAAAATTATTATGATATGCTGGTAATGAGGACTCATATGCTTCTGACAAGTCATTTGAGGTGACACTTCAGAAACTGAGCCTAGACCTGTTTGAAGCTTATCTTACCAGAATATTTGGGCTTGCCAATTGTGTGGGGGCACCAGCCCCATACTTGCTAATTTTTCTTGGTGCATGTCATGGTCGTAAAATATTGCCAGGCACCTAATGTAAAGAACACCAAATCTGCAGAATAATACCTGTTTTATTTAAAGTCATATGCTGTACAGTATAGCTTGGTTCTAGGACAACGGCCCCCCATTGCCAGTGAATAACTGGCACAAAACATGGAAATAACCTAACTTGAACTTAAAATAACATAACCTTACCTAACTTAACCTAACCTATCTTTAACTAAACCTAACCTATCATTAAACTAACCTAACCTAACTTTAAATAAATTTAAGTTAATCTAACCTAATTGTAACGTAATCTAACTTAACCTAACCTAACTTTAATTCAACCTAACGTCACTTTAATTTAACCTACCTAACCAAATATTAAATCTGACTGATCCACAATTTTTTGTGACTTGACCATAACTTTTTATAAATGTATTTCTATTCACAGATTTGTAGTGTTAAAATAGGAAAATTTGAGTTGTGCATTTTGTGTATATAATTATTACTTCAAATAAAACATGAAAATAAAGCATTAATTCTTAGTGTTCCATGTTTTGTGCCATTTATTCACTGGCAATGGGGACCAATTGTCCAGGAGGTAACGATGGAGGACGAAGACGAAATCCCCACAAAGACAGGACACACTGCGAAATTCAGCACCCCAAAAAAGAACAAAACAGGAACGATGGCAACACCACCGTCACCCAGAAAGATCAAGGAGAATGAAGATCTAGGAGACGAAATTGGCCTTCGATTTTTCTCTACTACAGCTCTCCCCATAGTCTCATCAGAAGGACTCCTGGCAGAAACAAGGGAAGGCAAGATAAAATACACATACACAGACAAACACCTAGAAGACACACATATTGAAACACTAATTAAGAAAGGAAAAATCATCACAAGACACAACAGAATAGAGAGAGTTGATCAGTCATCGTATAAAAAAATCCGCCTGGGCCTGCTGACTGACAGGAGGGGGTCAGGGGAAGACCTGTCAGCAAAAATGGCGCAAACTAGCTCTAGGCACCAGCCTTCATAATAAACAAACTTAAAATAATCCAGCACAATGTTTTAGCATGGATCCCGCAGAAAGCAAGCTAACTATATAACACATACCGTACCTTAGACCCAGATATTATCCTACTAAATTAGCATGGCAAGAAAAACTCGGGAAAATCAAAATATTTAACTACACAGTCTACCAAAAAACAGTCACGACCCACTACATGATGGAATTGCCATAGCCATCAAACGGTACATACAACAGAATATATACACGACTCATTTCAAGAAAACTTTCTGGCCCTCGAAATAAACTGCCCAACAGGACCCATCATAAACCTCCCTCCGAGAAGACCCATATTTCCACTAGCAGACAAGCTCAGGCTGATGAGAAGAAATGTACCAGCATATTTTCTGAGTGACCTAAATGCGCGACAGCGCGTATTGGGGCACCAGGACAACAACGCCGTAGGGCAGATCTTGAACACACTATTGAACTACGGCAACACAATAAAAGTTAGCCCGGAATTCCCCACATACATCACAGGAGGTCACATCCAGACATAGTGCTAACAAACCAGCATCATCATCTTAACCTGCTAATGGAACCCGGCCCAATAACCACCAGTGACCATCTCCCTAGTGTAGCCACACTCTCCACGTCGCCAATACAGATCCCTGCCAGGATGAGATACAGCTACAGCCGGTCCAACTGGGAGGAATTAAAAAAGGAGTTAAACAATCATCAAATCGCCCAACTACACAACAAACACACCCCCCAAATAGACAACACACTAGAGATATGGTACGAAAACGTGAGCCAAGCAATGGAACACCACATGCCCAAGACCACTCACCGTACATTGCCACACCCTCAATACTCACACTAATCAAGAATTCTACAGACACAACTCAGTAACTTATTAAAATTAATCATAGAAAAAGGATGGACGCCAGAATACAGAAGACAATATAA